CGGAAGAGGAGCAAATAGACTCTGAGGATACCTGTGCAACGCTGCATGCTGTGAGGCGTAGAACTTTACAGAGGTACTTCAAAGATGTAAGTATGTCATGTGAACATTATTGCCACTTACAAAAATGTTTCTGTAAAAAGGTAAGTGGAATTACAACTTGTAGTACTCCTTAGTTTTATTTCTACATCTAGTGTACACTTTGTAACGTTGCAGCGGTTATGAGGTGTTTACATTTGATAGGGTCCTTATTTTGAAATAGCGTCTGACTTTCTATCATTTTTATTTTAGGCATAAGCATCTAGTATATCTACAGGTTACCTAGTCATTAAATATTCATGCAGATCTTCTCTAGAAGGAGACATTTCAAAATTTTTGGCAGCACACAGTAAGTGAAAGGACTTGTTTTACCCTCTAACAGTTTTCTGAGCCACTACAGAGAAGTGGAGGATGAGAGGATGGGAAGGAGGGACCAGCAGAATACTTCACTCTCTTCTGTTGAATCCTCAGCTCTGTACAATGTTACCAAAGTTCAGTTTTATATTAATTGGTATATTATTGTCTGCTTTGCAGTTGTGTTGGCTGTTCCCAGCAGAGTTTTGCATAACTTCACAAAGCCACATTACAGCTATTTGTATTTAATTTTCAGAGCCAATTTTTGTTGCTTAACTGGACTTGTTCACTTGTAGAGCTTTGTGGAAGTGCTGCCTGTGACTTTCTATGCTAGTGAATAAAACAGCCATGGAAGATATATGACTGTTCTAACAAGTCCTTCTGGAGGAGAATGTCTTAACCTATGCTCCTAAATAAGCTCCTGTAAATTAGACCCAGATCCATCTAAGTAACCAGTCTTTAGAAGCTTAAAGATTGGCTTTCCCTGAATGAAACGTACAGGAAAAAAAGGCAATGCCAGGACATGCTTAAAAAACTCATAAAGAAAGAGTTGTTTATTCACATACCAAATGTTTGATATCCTGGTTTTGCTTCATACATTAAAACCATTTTAGAATGAGTCTACACTAAAAATTGTTTTCCAATTATGGCAGCCATAAGTTTTTTTGTTGTTTTTTAAATGTATAACTATTTTTATCTGTGTATTAATTTTTTTCTTTTCTTTTTAGAAATGGAGATTTAATAATTAGGTTGACTATAGCTAGGTATTCTGCAACATAATTTTCTGGAATTCATTATAAGTTTGTCAGTGGTGACTGTTTTTACACCTCATTTTCTTTGAGGACTACCTGTGAAGTCATTGCATTTTGACATGTGGGTCTTAAGTGCAACCTTGGAATAAGGGCAATGTTTTCAAAACAATCCTAGGATAAAACTCAAGTCAGTAAACATGTATTTTTTCTCTTTTCCCTGTATGTTGTATAGTATACAATATTGTTCAAGAACTCATTAAAAAAACTTAAGTGTTTACCCTGAGTTTTAGTACCAGATTGGGGTTTAATTATGTAACCCTAATCGTCTTGTTTTGGTTACATTCAAAACGGAATGAAGTCCCCTAGAGCAGGATCTTGCCTTTGTACCTGGGATAACTTCCACTATTAGAACAGATGGTAAAGTTAGAGCCATTCTCATGGTGTTCTCTTAAAGAACAAGAGGTTCTTTAAATAAGTCAGTATATTAAGTGACAAGAACTACAGAAGTTTAACTTAAGAGTTTGGCTCTTTGCTGGAAAGAATAACATGCTGGCAGCCATGTAAGTTAGCATAAAGAAAGACTTTATAAAATATTACTTTTATTTCCACAACATATGGCTTATAATTAGATAGCATGCAAACAAAAATCTATATATTTTTAAATTGTAAAATAAGTTGTGGGTACTATCTTTATAACTTTTTATTACTGATTACTGATTTTGCTTTCTTTTAGAGTTCCTGCCTGCAAGCAGTGTCAATAGGCTGGGAAGGAGGTGTTTATGTACAAACTTGTGGTCACACTTTACACATAGATTGTCATAAATCTTACATGGAATCTTTACGGGTAAGTAAAACTTAAGATAATATTTTAAATTAGGATCTGAACTGGTTTTAGTGAAATCTATTACATCTTGACGGTATTAACAAAAGTATTTCACTTTAATTTATTCTGGTATGTCAAAAAAAATACCGTACTGAATCCTGTTCTTGAAAAATTCGGTCACTGGGTTTTGGGTTTTCTTTTTCTGTTGTGCATCTTACACTTCTCATTTCTGTTTCATAGATTCCTATTTTGATGTTTAATGCCTGTTAACAATACTGAGAAACCAAAGAAAAAAGAGGGGGATTTTACAAATAGAAACTTGTGCTTTTGATTGATTCTTAATATGAAAATTTAGTTACACAAAGCTAGTTTAGAGAAATTACTTTAAACAATTTAACTCCTGTGAATCATGTTGGATTTTTTTCTCCTTGGAAAATTCTTTCTGCAAATTTCAGCTATGTCTTCTTTCTTGTATTTTAGAATGACCAGGTCCTCCAGGGTTTTTCAGTGGACAAAGGAGAATTTACCTGTCCCCTCTGTAGGCAGTTTGCTAACAGTGTTCTTCCTTGCTATCCTGGAAACAACGTGGAAAGAAGCCTTTGGCAAAATCACAGTAACAAGTGTATGCAAGATCTTGTACAAGAGGTGGAAGATCTTCAAGAACAGCTGGGAACATTCCCAGTAAGCATCAGTGTAAGGCAGAAAGATCCTTGCTAATTTACAGTTTTTACATTATGTTGCATTTGTGACCTCTTGGAAACTCTACACCCTGGGAAACTTCAGTTTCTACTGCTATGGAAGATAGAAAGCATACTGTTTTTCTTTCTATATAAACAAACTTTAAAAGTTTACAGCACTTACTGCATTACTACTAAAACAATTTAGAAGTTATGACAAAATGTGATCAATATAATCTTTTATGAAGCACGTTTTCGTTTCTCTCCATAGCAATTTACATAGAATTGAGTCAAGTAATATAAAAATAATTTCTCATTTCTTTACGATGTAAAAGTGACACTATCTTTGTACCTGTAAGCTCTTTAAAGAATGTCTGTTAAGAACATTTAGGATTATTTTTACAGAAAGAGCAGTTTGCAGATACTCATGTATTATAGAGCTTCATGAGGTCTTTCTGAATTATAGAATTAATTCTATTAATTTCTTCTAGTCTTCCAGTCTTCATGGAGATACTTTGTTATTTTTATATATACTTGTGCAGTGCAAATATACTTTCAAATAATGCAAGCAGTGAGGTTCTTCAGCTTTAGAGATGGACACAACAGTGATGTTTTCATATCCAGAACAAATGAGAATAACTTTCAGAATGTTAAACCACTTGTGAGACAGAATATTGGCTTTTTAATGTGTATTTTTTCATAACCATCAAATGTTTTCATAAATATGAAAGTTCTACACTTTGTGATCAGCTATTGCACTTCTTCAGGTAAAATTAACCAATCTTCTTTTGTATCTTTGTTCTTAGTCTGAAACAAATCTCAGTAAAGAAATGGAATCTGTAATGAAAGATATAAAAAGTACCACACAGAAGAAGTATACAGATTATAGTAAGAGTCAGGGATCACCTGACAATGATTTTCTGTTTATGTATTCAGTAGCCAGGTGGGTATATTTTTTCTTTTTATACTTTTTTTCTTTGTTTCTCACTAGTGGTGAAATAGTTCTTTAAAATTGAAAAAAAAATTGAGAAGTCTGTCATCTTCAAAAAGCACTTTGAGTACTTACTAAATTGAAGTTATATTTTCTGATTTTCATATACAGGCTAATGCAGGATGGAAAGATGTGCCTTTTAGTTCATTTTTAGTATATGCAGCAGTGGCACAAAACCTGAGGAACATTTTTTTCTTCTGCTTATTGAGTTATCTTCTTTATTCGAGGTTTTGCTTTCTGTATGTCAACATTTTGTGTTGAATTCCTTTTTCTGCTTTACTTTCCCAACCTGTCAAATCTCTACTACAGTTAGGCAGAATGAGAATCTTTTAAAATCACTGACATATTGCTAGTTTTTAAGTCAAGGGGTGTTTTTAATCCTTCCTACAGACTTTGTTTATTTACTTAAATAGGAATCACAGAAGGAGCCTTTTCTACATCAGCAACCAGGACTCTTCTCAGGGATGTCCAGTGATAGGAGAAGGGGCAATGGGTTTACGTGGAGCATAGGGAGGCTCCACGTAAACCTGAGAAAAACCTTTTTCACTGTGAGAGTGACAGAACACTGAACAAGCTGCCCAGAGAGGTTTGGAGTCTCCTTCTCTAGAGACATTCAGAACCCACCTGGTCGTGTTCCTGTGTGACCTACTCTAGGTGATCCTGCTCTGGCAGGGGGTTGGACTAGGTGATCTTTTGAGAACCCCTAACATTCTGTGATTCTGTGACTCTCTTCATGTGAAGAAGACTTCTAAAAAGTGTGTCCAAATTACCAGCGTTTTCTCTGTGGTGTTTTGATTCCAGTTTTATAGCTGTCAGTGTCACAGACACAATCTCCAAGAAAATCAGTCCCTCCTTCCATCTGTACCATGAATGTTAAGATTCTCTGAATGGTCAATCTGTTTGGGCCTTAGTGTAGTGCAGGGTTTTCCCGTAAGGAGTTGAAACACTCATTAAGCAAATAATTTTCTAAACTCAGATTTACTGAGACCTGCAAGGAAGGTGCTAACTGTAGAACTGCAAGCATAGGAGTGATAGTATCCAGTAGCATTTAATTGCAGTTTTGTAAACTCTGTTTGCTGAGTGTCTTTAGTATAAGTAGTGGAAATATTTAAGACTTGGCTCGGCAGGACTCTGTAATCAAATCTAAGGCTTAGCTTTTGACAGATGGTTGGACCACCTGATCTCCAGAATTCTCTTCCAATCCAGGTTATTGGGTAATTCTATTAAAATAAATATCTGTATTCTTTAAAAGTAAAGATTGATTGTGCCTTGATTAAGAAGAGCAATTAAAATTTTTTCTGTATTACTTGAAGTGGTGTGTGCTATACAAGGACAAGTAACATTGAGTTTTTTAGCAATTATGTGTTTGGTCAATACAATTTAACATGCTTTCAAAAATACAAAGGATGCAAAATTAACATTTCACGTATGAAAGTATGATTCCTTGTAACCATAACTTGACATACCATTAAAGGTACAAAAAGGGTGTTGTATTTCTTGTATAATGGTACATAATTTTAAAAAATGCTAGCAAAACATTTAAAATATCTATATATCTGTATTTTATTATTTTTATATTAACATCCTAAGCCAAATATTTTTGTTTCCATTCCAAGAATTAAAAATATCTCAAACCGGAACAGCATTTCATTGCTGCTTGCACTTCTGGAGAGAGAAATCATGGTTGACCACTAAGATTAGGACATGCCACCTGTACTCTTTGTGACCTCTTCTTGTTAGGTTAGGCTGGTGTCAGCAATTGTCCTTTTATTCATGACTGAAGGATTTCAGGTATTGGATCCAGCCTTACATATTGTTACCATAAGTCACAGGATCACTTCTGAGGGTGCCTGCCAGATAGCTACAAAAGCATTAATTTCTCTTGCTTTTCAGTTCAGCAGTCCAGATTTACTGGCTTCTAGTACTTGATCATTGCGTAAGAAATATAAGTTAAACAAACAAACCAAACAACTTTAAAAAATACCTATATTATAGCCTAACAGTATATATTTATGGAAATAAATAGGTAAGTGAGCTGGTCATCTCCCAGACTGAAAATCTTCTTCATATTCTTTTGCTATGTTTTAAGTATCTAAACAATGGGCTATCCATAATTTAAATAGAAAACTGAAGTACCTTGCTTTCTTGAAGTTATTCCTGTCATTCAGCTTGTTTCTTCCTTATTTCTATCCAGTTATTTTTGCGGTAATGAGATCCTTGTGTTCCGTAACAACCATGTATTCATGTATTCTGAAACATTTGTTTTGGTCAGATCATCTACAACTGTTACATGTTGCTTCCTAATCTAACATACAAATAAAGTGGTCAAGATGATAAGTAGCCCCTGTTTAAATAAACATTTGAATATAATGATATTTTTATTGACTCCATATATATGACTTTGTATAAGTCATGTTCCATTTTTCAGTCTAAAGGGACATAATCTGCAGTCTTCTTAAAAGATGCCTGTTTACCGCTAGAGGACACCTTTGAAGGGGATTTCTGCATGCTGGAGTGGGATTGCTACTGGTTAAACCGCATGGAGCTCCTTGCCCCAGCTTATTCTTTCCACTTCAGAAAAGCGGGAACAGATGGTACTGGTAGCAGAGAAAAGAAATTACAAGCTAGTTCCCTACCACCTAGTGGGAGGGCTGGACCCCTGTCTGTTTTCCTAGGACAGAGGCACTCTGGATCTTGGCATCCTGATGTGCATGCACAGCTGGAAGAGCAACTCCTTAGCTACCCCTCCCTTTCTCTACAGTCTTACCTTGTTAAATTTATACCATTTTTGTATTCATCCCTCCTGGTCTTTGCTGACGCTTATGAGATTAGGATAGTGTGTAATTCACAAATCATGCTTCAGTTTTAATAGCTGCACATTCAAAGCATTGATGACTGTCATTGTGGCAGTACCTTTGAGGAATGTTTCAGTATTGCATAGCAATAGGTCTCATGCTTTTCTTGGCTGTGTAAGCAAAGCTTTTGGTTTTGTTGTCACCCATGTATAGATGACTCTAAGAAACTTGGTGTTCTTTCCTTCCAGTCAGTGTCTCAGTATCTGGTGTTTTTCTTATGTATGTGGTCTTTGTAAAGTGAAGTAGGAAAAAGGGTAGTGATTAACTTGATTGTTCTGTCCTATAGAAAGAGGAGGTCCATCCAAATATGTTCTCTTTCTGCAAAGACTGTTACATTTTTACATCTCTATCTGTCCTTATATGAATACTGAGGTACATGCAGTCACCCTCCCCACCCTCAATGTGTTCCTTTAATGAAAGCCCACAAGAGGTGAAGTAGGGCTGTTTTTTAAGCGGAGTCCATAAAGCTGAGCAAAATTAATCTCAGGTTTTTTTCTGTGAGTGAGGAAGATAAAGCCAGTGTTGTACAAAATTTGTTGCTCCAGTGAGCGACTTGGAGATTTCTAGATAGGGGAAACAGTCACTCATATAGATTTTCTTTCTCTGTCTCTTCATGTTGAGAGGACTCGGATAGCAAAGGATGCTTTCAGAGACCATGCTGTGTTCCACTCTCCTATCAGATGACCCACGTTTTTCTGCATTGATGAGAGAACAGACACTGAGAGCTCTGCTTTTCTTCAGTAAAGGCAGTAGGGACCTTGAAGGAGGGAGGAGATACATTAGTCTGTTTTAAGCATGATTTAGGGTGGCACCACCACAGTGATGTAGAACATTGTATAAAGGAGAAGTGTTCAGTTTCACAGATGATGCTTTCTCTACTGTGCATTTTCATGCCAAAGTTTAGGTGTATTTTGATAGATACATCTTAGAGGAAAAGGCTAATATTTAGGTTTCCAAGATAGCTGAACTAAAGGCTGCTGTCTTTGGAGAGCAGGGGTAAAGAATTGTGGGAGGTGAGAGTTGGTATGATACATGTGATGAAGTTTCCAGAAATCTCCCTCCTTACATTCCTTATAGCAAAAATTACTATATAACAATTCATACATATCATGAATAATTTTTTCAGAAATGTAACTGAGTTTGTTTTGTAAAATTGTACCTATTTCTTGCTGAAAGAGAAATTTTTAATTCTAGACCTGGAAAGTTGTTAGACAGTCAAGTAGTGCTTTTGATTTAAATCTTATCTTGGTTTTAATGAAAGGCTGCCATTAATTTTGTTCTACAAATGAGTTATCAGAAGGTTTGTAGAAATAAAACACTGGTTTCCTTTATATTCCCATGATGAACTAGCACATATGGATCTACAGTTGCTATTTTGTCCACTAATACAAAATCCCAGTCCCCATTTCTTTGCTGGTAGATTTTCAGAAGTTCAGTGAGCACTGCAAATCGCCTGAAGAGTGGAAAATTCCCCTGTCACACAGATGCCCTTATCAGCAGCAACCAGATGGAGCTCTGAGCAGGCACATTATCAATGTTAAATTGCCTTTTCTGAGGAGAGAGGATTAAAGCATTCCTTCAGAAATGGGTGGCATAAGCTGCAAACTTAGGGATAGTAATATTCTGAAATGTTACTATTTAAAAAACGTGTCTTAGCAAACACTGCATTTCAAAAAGGTATCATTCTTTCAAGCTTATGAAGCTGAAATTCTTTAAAAAAAATTTGTTTTTAATAAGTCATCCAGTAGTTTCTTCTTAAATATGTGTATGAGGGTGTGCATTCTTAGCTTAGATATATTATGTGCCTAAAATTCTAAAATTTATTTTAACATGTATTCGGTTGCATTATATTGAACCTAAAAGGGTTTTTTTAGTCAAAGGACAAAATATGTTTAAACTGAGCTTTGCAGTTTGGATCAAATTAGCAAAATAATATTTGAGAATAGAAGAATTCTATTCCTTTATTTTAATTAAAGGAATGTATGTTGACTTATGATAACAAGCTCTCAAAGAACATAATGTAAATTGTTTTTTCCAAGTCTTGGGGGTAAAAGATAATACAATATTGTAACATCCAATTCCAAAATTAAACAAAGCTATCAAGTTTGGCCAAAACAATTGGTGTCTGAGTATCAGATTACAATAATACTAAGAAAAAAGCATCAGTGTGACACACAGAGATTTAGGGATACAGGTCCTGTTTCATACTAATGAGCTGCAGTGAAGACCAGTGTTTCATTCACAATTAACCTCCAAGGCTTTTATTAACTAGCTTATCTATAAAGGTCAGCATTTCCATTATAATTTAGACTGTTTTCAAACTTAGTTACTTGGTGGCATATCCATTGTACTTTCTGCTTGTTTAAAGGAGGAAAAAAAAAAAAAAAGCCCTGTCAATAAAGAGAAGAATTTTTTGACATATCTGATTGATTGATTGAAATTTAGTCAATCTGTATAATGTATTAACAAATTTGCACATAAATTCCTTTATTATCAAGGAGTTGTTTGTGCATATAGGAAAAAACCATCAGAATTAACATGTTTTTTTAATTCAGTCACAACTGTAGCAGCTCTCATAGTATTTGCTAATCAAAGCACTTAAAATCACATATGGCAATAGCTTGATCAAGTCTGATTTATTCTGGGTTATATTTAGGCTGTATCTTACAGTAAAGATTAGTTCACAGCATTCTTTTATTTATTGTATGCTAGGAGTTCATGGTGACTTTTTCATGTCCATAGAGGCTCAAATAGTGCTGCTTCATCCAACACTTGGGTTTTTCTTGCAGAACAAACTTGGAACTCGAACTGGTCCATCGAGGAGGGAATTTATGTTCAGGAGGTGCAAGCACAGCTGGGAAAAGATCATGTTTAAGTAAGTTTTATGTTATGAAGTAAAATATACATTATTAGAATATTGAAGATTTCTAGTTCTCTCTAATATTTTCGAAGTTATGTCAACGTTTTTTCTTCGAAAAACCTTTTTCCTGCCATAATGAGTCGTTGGTTTGTGTTTCAATTTGAGAAAATTTAAATCTGATTTGCACAAATGATTCATTAGGACTGTTCATTTGTTTAGAAATTGTCGTAGTATCCATGTAGAGTTTTTTAATTCACATTTTAGGAGTAAAACTAGAAGTATTTTAAGGATAAAGCAGAAAAGCTTTGTTTCAGCCTGACTGGCTAGTAATAGTAAGGAACTTGTCTCTCTGAGTGCTAATGTAGCTCATGACTAGGTCTCTTAGAAATCTGCAGCTACTGTGTCCCATGTCTTAATTTCCCTCCTGTTTTTTCTGACAGGAGAGTTTTGTGCATTTTCTTTGGTAGAAATTTTCAGATCTTAATTGTTCTGAAACCTTTAATGTTTGGAAAATAAATCACTTTTGGTTGACAGAAGTGGTTTGTTTTTTCTTAACAAAAATATTTTTATCTTTTACTGAAATATAAACTGTTAGGAATGGGTACTTTCTTTTGTCAGGAAAATTTTGAAATCCTGCCAGAATACTGCTACTAGTAATGCTTGTTTAAATCAAGGTCATGCAGCAGCAGCAGATGCAGTAGTAAAAATGTCAGAAAGCTTGGTCCCACCTCTGCCTTTTGGCACATGATTTGTGGATGATGCTTTCCTCATCATTTGAGGTGATGAGCTGCCAAAGAAATCTCATCACATGCTATGTTGTCCACATCCTTTCTAGGATAAAAGCCTACTGTTTCTGCCAGGAAATGTAGTTCTATTGATTTTGTTAATGTGTTGTGATTTGTGAAAAGTAGTTTTAAAACCCTACTGCACATTGTCTTCCCCCACCATCATTACCTCTCTTCCCTAGCAGAGCAAAACACCTGAAAACTGCATGTGTTCAAAGAACATGGCTACAACCCTATTTGCAAATGTAAAGCCTTCAATAAATTCAAGGCTCTGATTTCTACTTGGATTACAATATATTTTAATTGTATGATCACCTAGTACCTGGAAATAGTGTTTTTTCATTTAGTAATTACATTGCTCTCAGGATTCTAATGCATATTTCTGATGAAGGAGTAGAAACAGCATGTAAACATATTGCACCTGCTATTTCCCATGTGTTTGGGTGGAATCGTAAATTTTCTAATTTAGATCTAAAACAGTCATATTGGTGTTGTTAGTATCTGTCTTGTACTTCAGGTCTTCAGAGACCTGAAGGTCTTCAGAGCTTTCAGGTGAAAGGTGTTTAAGTATGTGTGTGGTGTTGCTTTAAACAGCATGGAGACACAAATGTCATTATTTATTTTTACAATGTTCACATGCTGTTTATGCCCTATATTGCTACTTTATTATATAGCAAAGTAGTAATATTTAATCTTGTATTAATGAGGACTAATTTTTCATGTGAAGTTATGGGGTTCTCCTAAAACAGACCTGTACTGTAATTCAGTATTATTACATTTAGTTTTGGACATTAGGCTATATGTAGGCAGCGGGAGCAGAATTACTTCTTCATGCATAGCAGGGTTTGTTTTAACTAAACTGCTACATAATAATTGTCTGAGTTTCCTTCATTGCCTTTTCTGTATTGGTGCATTTAGAGATAAAAAATTGCAATTCTTTCGGCACATGTTCAACAATAGATTTTATTACCTTTCCACACATTTCTTTTCCCAAGAGGAAATCCTGTTTTTATAGTATAATTTTAAATGTGCCTTCAACTTCAGCATTGTCTTATGCAGTGAGGAAAGAATACTTATAAAAATCCAGATGCTATCTAGAAGTTGAATCCTGTTTTTTTAAAAACTTGCTTGCACAGTATTGAAACTGCTTTTGGTTTTTAAACATCACACAGGATGAGTGATGTAGAATAAAATGTCTTTTTGTTTTTCTTATTTGTGAGATAATGAAGTGTGTCTCTTGTGATTAAGCATACCACTCTGGGCTAGTCTTGTAACAACTGTAAAGTTTGGTGATTAGATACTGCAGAAAACAGAATATGTTGGCCCTGGTGAGCTGTTACAGCAGCAAGCATCAGAGAGGATGGTGGGAACAAATAGGTCAAGAGCTGTTTTAGTAGATTGCACCATGAGGGCAGCTGCTCTTGCGAAGTAAAATTAAGAATGATTAATGTAGCTGTTAGTGTCAGTGATTGAGTCTGTACAAGAAGAATGATGAAGAAAATGTGGCTGTAAAATTGCCATTTTAAGGTTTAAAGTTTTGTGTGTGTGCTTGCATAAGTATGTGTTACTAAACAGTATATGCAACCAAAAATGCAAACAGAGTCCTTTTTGTTTATTACTTAAAATCAAGTCCTAGTTTAAGGACCATGTTCAAGTTTTGGAATCTATAGCCCTGAAAATTCTTTTGGGCTTATGCGATAATTATAACAACTGTACAGACCATTTTTATGTGTTTTATAAAGTTTAAGGGATCTGATGTTTTGCTTTTTGTTTTAATTGTTTTATAATTATAGAACACATTCAGATCATGATATGAAGGCTGAACACTTAGAACTTTTCTGTATGACTTGTGTATCTCTCTTCAATTTGTGCATACGTGTGTTTTCATCATTGTTACTCTGGTAATCTTGCAGTAATGGGTTAACAATGTCACAGAATGTAAAGTTATCTATAAAATTTATAATCTAGTCCTTTCTTCCTTTTGACTTTTAAGTAGTTTTTCTTTCTTTCACACTGCTTTTTTTTCCCCCACTTTTCTTTTTGTAATAAGAGTAAGATTAGGGTCTTTTGGGGAAGAATTAAATATTCTATCACCTTGTCCTCTGGCTTCAGTTTCCCTGTATGGGAAGGAGGTCCTTAACCTTGTACTTCCCACAGATAGCACTCAGGCATTTCAGCATCAACTGCTTTAATTGGAAAGGACATTAATTTACATGGATGTGAAAAATTAAGACTTGTTTAAGCTTGTCTTAAATAAAATGCCCAGCACCTTCTTAACTTCTGTGATGGTTCTACTTATTGGCAAACCATATTGTTCTTTGCAGCTGCTGTTGCTAGGTGGACTACATAAATTTCTACAAGGAGAAAAAAAAAATCCTCAATCTCCCGTATTAACAATCAAGTCCCATCAGGTTGTATGAAGTGGTTTGTGCTTGGGGTTTTTTTATAATCTACATTCTTCTTGATAGTCCCAGCAAACTTCGGGAGAAGAAGAGGGTGTAAAATACCTAGTCTGGTAAGAACTTTACCCAGCAGTTGAGACAAGGATGTTTTCAATTCCACCTGCAGTGAACTTCTGTATCACTGTGTTTTGCAATCTTTTGACATAGTAAATATAAATCCTAATTTATAGTATAAAAAAGAGGATACTGGATGAAAATAGCAAAGTAGATATTTTCAAGACAGCAGTATGTTATTTACGTCTCTCTAAAACATAAATATGAGAGAGACTGGGGAAATACAGACATCATTTAGACTTTTGCAAGAAAAACAAAGTCAGCTCAGTTCCTTAATTTTCTTCATCATCATTATTACAGGACGTTGCTATATATTATGGAAGTGGAATTAATAACAGAAAAAATCCTCTGATTTAACTCTGATAATTAGTAATGGAGAGGCAAGGGGGAAGGAACACATGCTTCCATGGGTTTCATTCCAAACAAAACCATACTCTAGGGGGCTGCGATTTTTTTTTTTTTTGGTATTTTGTTGAAATATCAGTATAGCTTCAGAGTTTTGAAGTTTGTCAGCAAAGCAATGTTTTGCTACAATCTCTTGCCAGGAAGAAAGATGACTTATTTTGTCCTCCTTGACTGTTTTATTCAGAAAGCAGGTGACAGCAATCAATTCCAATGCCATCTACATCTCCAATTATTTTACAAACCCCAGGAGCTAATTACAGCCCTCAGGCTCTGGCAGTCAGCTGACTTCATCATGCGGCTTCTTTGGCCATTGCATGCCTCTGAGTAATTGTCTATTTATGGAAAATAAATTAATAGCTGCTGTTTCTACTTAAAAAGAGGACCTGTGAGTGTGTTGGTTAAGCAAGTGGGTTGCAGGGAGAAGGGAAAGAGATTAGGAGAGTAGGAGGCAAAGGGATCAATTGAAGGAATAAAGGGGCATGGGGTAGGTAGAAGAGAAGGTGGTACGATACTAAGGGGAAAAGTTAAAGTGAGGAAGAAAGCAGGATCCTAGAAAACTAAACGGAAGCAAACCTGGCAGCAAATAGCAGGATATGGTTTGACAGAAGGAAGAAAGTGAGCAAAATTGTGGGAAATAGTGTTTTAAAATATGGCTTTAGTATGAAGAGAAGATGCTTTTTTTCCAAACTGTAACTGTAAACGCAGAAAAAGAAATGAAATCTGAGGTTCTTACTGTACATACCTCTCTGAAAATGCTGTCCATGTAGGTGGTACCTGCCTTCTTAGCTCACATAAGGGGAGGAAGGATTAGATGTTACTTTATTTGTGTTGATAATGAGTCACTGAGAAATGAAAACTGTGCATTTAAATATATGATAATGTGGTAAGGTGCATGAATAATAAAATAAGTGTCCTTTGTTCAAAAGGTTCTAGAAATGTTTTGTAAGAAATATTTTTGACACATGGGATGAATTGATGAATATCAGCAAACTTAGCCTGCAGGTTGTGTAGCCAAATATCTGCAGTTCATTTCTACTTTGGTGCCATTAGTGTGGTCAGAAGTTTGGGGGTTTTTGTCTTCCAAAAGTTACGTACAAAATAAGCTTATGAAGGCAGAAGGAATATTAACCTTTTAAGGCTCAAGTGCCAAACTTAGCCTACTGTAGGCCAGAGCTTGCAGCCTCTGTATGTTAATTTCTAATATGTTGTGTGCACAGAACTTAACTATGAGAGAGAGGAATAAATGCTGTGTGCTAAAAGTCTGTCCGTCTCTGACATAAACTGCAGAGAGAAGTGAAGTAAACATGGAACTATAGCAACTTAACAGCATATGAAACAGGATTTTTAAAAAGACCTATATAGTTAAGTACACAAAGCTGGTGTTTTACGAGCACTAAACTAACTGAGACCTGGTAAAAGTTTTCTAATCAGCCTTTCTCTGTTCCAGAATTCCAGGAAGGAAACAAAAAAAAATAGTTCATGCATATGTTTACTGCCTTCTATTGAAATCTTAACTCTCTTTTAAAAAATAAAAAATAACTTTAAAAGGACTTTTTAGGTTACCAGCTTATTTGGAATGAGATAACAAGACTTCTCAGAATGTAGTAAAATAAATGACAGCGACTTAATATAAAATACTTCAAATTATTTTACGTAATAATCAGCAATCTGTCTTCTTCACCTTTCAGATCAGCTCTTCCATGTGTTGGCCATGCACATGCGCCTCTACAGTATAGACTCTGCATACAATCCCTGGAGAAAACTAACCCAGCTGATGCAGGATAAAAATTCAGAGCAAGTATTTTAATTTACCAAATATGTTTTACCTTATGAAAGAAACATCCTTACAGAGGGACTTGGGGTAGCTTTCTGTCTTAATTTTAAATACTCAGTGAGGTAGCTTGATGAACTTAACATCTGAAAATTGTTTGTTCATATATTTGTAAAAATATTTTTTCAGATTTCTTTTACATAAAATCCGACACATTTTAGTTTCAAGTTAAAACTTAAATACGCCACATGTAAGCTTAAGCACATGCAAATTTAATAGTATTAGGTAAGTGGATAGGTGCACTGCTTTTCTTGGTATGGATGCTAGACAAAATTTACATCAACATCAAGTTCATAAATAGTTTATTGAAAGTTGGGCAATGGCTGGTGGCTGTTACAGAAATAACACAAGTAGGTATAAGATACGAGAAATAATTCTATATTGAGCTAAAAATTTTCATCGTGCTTCTTATTTTAAGCAAGTTATTCACCCAAGTTTGCTGTTAAAAGTATTAGCCTTACATATACAGCTGTACAAGGATTAACAACAATAAATGGAGCCACATATCTGTATTCTGCAAGGACACTTTTCCCTGTTTGATGTCACTTCTCAAATTCTACCTGGACAGTGAGAAGATAGGTGTCTTGCCTAAAGCCAGCTGATTATTTTTCTTCATAAGAGGAAAACAGTATATATTTTTTCTCTTGGCACTTCGAGCATCTTTTTCGTAACTATGCATCTGGGAGAACTGATCAAAGTAATTTGTAAAGATTCTCACTGAATTGCTCTGTTGTACTTCCTAAAGCTCCTGGTTTTGCGTAGTGTCATCTACTACTGTTCCTAGATTGATCTGTAGTTGAAAATGGCAGCTGAGAGGAAAGACAGGAAGGACCTTATGCAGTCACACCAAGACAAAGTAGAAATAAGGAAACTTTGAGCAAGAACATACTCAATTAAAAAGGCCCTAAATAATAAGTGTTTGAAGGAAGAGGGAGGAAAAAACATAAAGCTTAGTCTCAACTTGTGACTGGTGTAGTGGATTCTTTTTTGTCTGCAGTTCATGTTGTCAAATTTAATATGCACTTGGGTCCCACAGGCTGTTCTTAAGCAAATTGTTCTACTAGGGGCTGATCTGGTTTCAAGGGTGATCAAATAAACAGTTATGGTGGTGTAACTGAGGAATAGTAGCTTCTGGCAGGGGGCAGAGAAGGAGCAGCTGGAGGCAATAATTACTAAGCCCAGATGTGAATTTAATGAACTAGTCCAAATAGCCAGTTTCAGGAACTGCAAGCCTGAAATAAAAAAATATACTCTTTTTTAACTTTACATCTCTATGAAAACTGAAAATTCTGTCTGTTTTGACAGACAAAATGCATAGGGAAAGAAGTATTTGGTAAAGCATTAAGGATCTTTGCGTTAGAAGCGCTTGGAGGGGGAAAACTGCATGATGAAGTGCTGACATATACTGGGTTATTTTGACTAAAGTGTTTTGCTTCTGTTTTGTTCTAAGCTAGATTGCTTTGGTGATTGTTTGTAGTGTCATATGGGGGCAGCAAACTGCAGCACAGGGATGGGAATGAGTAACTGTGTCGAAACCTCTCCAGTCCTGTCTCCCATCACAGGCACTGTTCTGAAATGGGGATCATAAAGCAGTTTTCATGAAGATAGTCCAACACAGACAGACAGTAGGATGATGGGACAATGGGGTGTAGTTAAGCTTTGTGGAAGAGGTGATGCATACATACCCATGCTGCAACAGGACTTATATGATCTGATTAATAAACATGCAAATCTGCCCGGGAACACCAGTGTCTCAGGACACATTACGCTATGGAGGTTTTGGCAGCAATGCCAGGTCCAGGACTATTTGCTGTTTCTTCTTTCCCATGTGCCATATCTCACCCTCCTCTTCTGCTGTGCTGATGCAAGTTGAGCAGGCTGCATCATGAGCAGAGTCGAGGAACTAATCTATGTTTTTTAAAATGTTAATTTGAATAAACTTGGGAGCAGGAGACAAGGGAGTGCTGTAGGCACAGTGGTGAAAGAGAAAATGGGAGATGTCTAATGTTAGTTCTGTCAGTAAAATTCTATGTTGTGTAATGAGAAAAACTGCCTGGCTGTAAAATCTGCTGTGACACAATGAATCACAATACAAAATTGTGATTATATCCTAGTATGTAGCGAGGATAAACAGTAGAATTCTACTTTCTTGTAATGAACATCAGAGGCAATGTGTTACTCTGACCTTTCTGCAGGCTGGGATTTCTGGGCTGTGTTTCTCATCCTGCAAATCCTGAAGGGAATATAAATTTGCCCTGCTTGAGTAAGCCTTTGTTTAGCTGCATATATATTGCTTTGTCTCAGGTTTTCTGCATCTTACACTTTGAAGAGGTGTGAGGCTCAAAACTTCCACTTTATTTATGGGCTTTCTAACTTTATAATCAGTTGGATTATAAAATTTTAAGTGTCTCTATCTGAGAGAAGAGGGGAAAGGGAGCAGAGCATGTATGTAAGGAAAGTCCATAAGCAAATGCTGCTTGTTTCAAAGTAGAACAGAAGTTTCACTTTATTTCAGTTTCACTGTATCCATTCGTGAAGAAGTAATTCTCAAGATAACCTCTGTCAGGTGGAAGATGCAGAATACAGAGGCAGAGTTGCTCAGCTGTTGGCTGACAGCTCTGGTACTGGCACAGAAAGAAGTGCAGCCCAATTACCTTGTACAGAAGGAGAGGTCAATTCCATAGAGAAAGTTGAGCAATTCGTTTTTCATTTTGTACATGTTTCTGTTGCACTGTGCAGTTTATTTTCGCCTCCTCCCTTTTTTTAATGGATAGGGCACACAACTGAAATACATTTGAATTATTTTGAAATACTTTGGTCCCATCCAAGATTGTGCTTGCTTTCATTTTATTCAGCACTTCAGGGGTAAAATTTTTTGTAAAGTCAGATTTATCAACCTTTCACATATGCATTCAGGATTAATAGGATGGGTGATTTCCATGAAACTCATTTCTAAACACACTTTATAAATTCAGTCACAGTGTTATAATGAAGAAGTTGCTTAGGTTCTTAACAAATGACAGAGCAGTTTTCAAGTTCTTCATATGCTGCAGCACTTGCCATAAATGGAAGCAGCTTATTCTAAACCCCTGACATTTAATGTAGCTTTGCTTCTCCAATTCGTATAAAATTAAGAAATTAGACAAAGAGTTCAGTTGGTCTCGCATGTGAAAATGAGTTAATTTATTTGTGATATGGGCAATGAATCACTGTATTCTATATATATTAAGAATATTATCTAATTTTGCCAGAACTGGTATTTGACCTAATTATTACCTGACTGTTAAATGATACTTATGTTGATACCCATTGGAAAGAGGTGTTCAGCTAAATGTGACCAGAGTGAATTACTATTTTTTGTGTTGTATTGTTATTCCAAAATAATTTTTCCAAACTTTATATATAAAGTAAAAGTTGGAAGTAATTTAAGCAGTGTCCATGGCTCTAAAATTAATGTGGGTTATTTTAAAATGCAGTGTTACAGCTCATAAAATAGACCTGGCTGTAGGTAGAAAAGTAAAATTAGATTCAGTGAGATTAGCATCTTCATTACCTGTTTAACTTTGAAAATGAGACTTGGTAGTGGGATACCCATTTTGCCCCCTTAGTATTCTTTAGAATTCAGTACAGTGATCTTTAGAATATTTGGGTTTTGTTTGGGAGGCTCTCATATATAAATATTTATATTTATGTATGTTACAGTGTTGTAAAACAGTCCTTTTATGAAATTGATTAACACAAAAGACATTATGGATAGTGTTTATTCTGTAGCTATTTGGGTTCATTAATTCAAAAGGACCAGTTAGATGTTTTCTGTGGCTTATAAAGGCAATCAACTAAGCTATTTGTGCTCATTCCCACAGTTGAGTGCATTGCATAACATGACTGGAAACTAGCCATGTAACAGGATTATTGCTTCAGAACAGGTGTTACTGAGCTGTGGGAGAAAGGAAGGAGAGTAGTTAAAAAAGATGTAGTTAGTTAACACACTTCATATGACTGAAAGTGTTCTTTTAATCCTCCTCTTATTTGAATGACTACTTCTGCATGTTAAAATTCCTATCACAAATAACTCTCAGCAGTTCCTTTTTTAAAGAGAAGTTGAGTTTCATGAAATCAGTAACTGTGTAGGGGTCTTCTTCCAAAAGCAGCATCGTGTTTATGTGCCCCAGAGATGATTAACTGGTTGGATCCACAAAGCTATTAGAAGGCAATGAGGACCCTATATATGCATCCCCATCCCACCACATGGAGACAGCCTTTTCCAGTACATGGTCTGCAAGAGCTGTTTGTCTGCTGTGCGTGTGACAAGATGGCACAAATGGAAGTTGGTGTCCTCATAAAGAAGAGGCATCAACTAAGCTAATGGAGTAGCCAGTGCCAGCTGAGTTGCATCAGAGTGAGAGTTTCGTGGTCTTGGAATTGAGGCAATAATTAGATGTGCCAGTAGTTCACCAGTTGTGCTCTGAAAAGATAAAGCTGAGACAGGAGAGGGCTTAAATGTCTTGTCCGTTTTCTTTTTTCCTCAGTCTGATTTTGTTTGTACAGAAACTTGGACACTTGCTGTAGGACTTAAGAAAGCCTGATTGGGAAGCTCTGTAGTCCACAATGTCTTGCAGAACAACCAAAAAGAGGAGAATGAAGTTGTGCTTTTGGGGGTAGATCTTAATAAGGATATATGTATATTTTCAATACAGCTATCTAGCACTTCATCAGTTGTGGCTTATCTACAGGACAGTTAAGATTGCTGGAACAAAGCATGAAGATAACTGTGAAACTGCGATAGGCAAATATATTTTGATTTCCCTACTTTCTAAGATGGTTAGTATGAAGGACCCAGTGAATTGACACATGGTGTAAAGGCCTAGAGCTGCCCTAAATAAGGGAAGATTCTGCCAAGAGAGGGAGAATAGTTTTTTCTGCAGTTCCTGACCAGTGAAAGAATGACAAAAGTGTAGGAAGAAAAGCTGAAAGAGCCTAAGGAGCGATTGAAAGAAAATGCCCTTCCAGAACAGCATTTGAGTCACATGACAATTGAAAAAAAAAACTTGTAAGGTGTGATATTTTCCTTTGCAACATTTGTGTCCATTTGTAAGAAGTGGTGAGTTTTCCACAGGAGGCTCAAGGTCGGTAACACTAGAGACTCATGATGTAGCTCCTGTGGTAGTGATACAGATAAATATCTCAAACATCTTCTCCATTGGCATTCATCTGCCAGCCAGCTAGCACTACCACTCTTTGGGAATGGGTATAAGAACCCAAACAGCACTTTCTTCTGTGCATGTTGCAGAAGAGGAGAGGGGACAGTGGGGGATGCATTATGCTATCTGCTCCTGCTTGAGATTCCCTTCACACTCCATCAATTAAAGACGGGAGAAGGATTATTGCCATGTTGGTATTTTGCAATTTTGAGTCAGCTGTTGAACCTATAGAGTATTGTTGGTTGGATTATTGTTGGATATTGCTCCCCAGGCTAGAAAAAATACTGCCTTCTATCTGCAGACATTTTCTGCTTTGAAGTATAAGACTACATGGTGATGTTACGTATTCAATATTTTCCAGTAGGAGCAATCCATGTAACAGTAATACAATTTGAGGGTTCATTGCTGTTACCACAGGGGTATATGTATACTTGTACAATGCCATGCTTTGAAAATCATGAAAATGATTGTTACGGTGCAGCGTATTTTCTTATTTTAGAACACAAGTTCTAAAAGTGAAATACTGAATTATCCTTGAGTCTGTACATAGAAATAACTATTTCAGGCAGTTTTGGGAACTTTTTAAATAAGAGTCAGGATCCCAAATGGTAACTTTCTCATAAGTTATTACAATCCATTAGTAACATTCAGTGTTTTACAATTGAGATCAGTTACTGAATTTCCAGCTCTTTGGCTTCTGTAAGCTTAATATCTAATGTAATACTATCTAAAATTAATTGCAAAATAAAATATGAAAATGAAAAATGGGTTTATAGTTTCAGAAGTTATTTTATTTGAGTTTTCTTTCCAGGTTGGCAAGTGAAGAGCTGCCAGAAGTTCCTGTGCTTTACAGAGATGTCTCATCCCTTTTGCTTATCCAGATTTTAACCATGCCTCAGCCATTGCACAAAGGTATGTTATGAAAAGATGTATATTTAGATTATTATGTATATGAGGGCACATTCATGATGACTTCCAGATGGTCAATCATAGCTGATTTATTGTGTATTCTAAAATAATGTTTCTGCTTTATCTGTAGAAGCTGGCATTGAACAGAAATTTTTGTTGTGGATTGACAAGCTTATCTGTGTTCCCTGTCTTCTCACCTTATCAGTCAACCTATTCAGTAAAGATACAGAGCTAAGCAAAAACTATTAAGTACTTTTACTAAAGGAAAAATGTCCTTTGCTTGACCCTCATCTCTTTGCTTAGAGGGGCAGCTCAGTACTTAAACTTGAACTGAGTTCCTAAGGGTAAAAGATTGTAGTTTAGTTTTAATTTCAGAGTTTAAATTGCAGCAGTCTTACATAATAGGAGATCTTCTATGAAGATGATAATTGTTGTAATGCAGCAACTTCAGTAGAGACAGCATGTAGTATAATTAGGAATAAATATCACATAGTATTTGTTTTCTGTATAAAAGAAAGAGCTGAACCTGGTGCATCTTCCTAATAGACAGTGTATGCTCCAGAAGATGGGGTAGTTCAGACCGTCTGGGCTCTGCCTTGAACATCTATAGTTACACCTTTATTTTAAAATGAGTGCAAACAAGTATCTTTTTACTACATCAGTGACAGTGAACAGAGTATCTGCTTTGGGGTCTGTGTGGCAATTTTGGTATTTGGTGAATAGGTAAATACACAGGACTGTTCTGCTCTTGGTGCGCACACCTAATTTACAAAGTATAGTAGAAACTCTGATTCCACTTAAGAGGTGTTCAGTTGTCACTACTGAATGTTCAAATTCAACTTAAGTGGCTCTGTTTAACTTAAATTCACTTTTCTTGAAAGGACTTAATAAAAGCAGTAAAGTTAAATGAGACTAACTTCTTCTGAAATACAGGGAAGGAAGTGGTGAAGCCAAAGTAAAAACAGGTGTATTTTTGTTGTTTAAATTCATGCACTGAAAAACATCATTTTTTAAAATATACCTTTTCCTAGGATAGAAAAGACTAATGTTAAACTATACTTCTAGAAATGTTTCCAGTATAAACTTTATTTTTAAGGGGATTTGTTTAATGCATATAATGGGATGGCATGCTGTGAAGTAATTTGGTTCCAAGAAGTTTTGTTTAAAAAAGTTTTAAGAACAGGAACATAAAAGCATTTCTCAATAATATTAAAAAATAAGTACAAAAATTCTCTCTTTTGATGATAGCAGTATAGCCATAATAATATAACTTTCACACTGCCAGAATATCAGATTAAGTTTTTTAATGTATAAACACAGAAGTCCTAACTGCATTTTAGTCCAGAATGTTGCACAGTCCAACAGAACGGGCAGATAGCTTTTATGTAGTTTCATAGAATCACAGAATGGTTTGGCTTCGAAGGGTCCTTAAAGATCATGTAGTTCCAACCCCACTTACATGAGAAGGGACACCTTCCACTAGATTGGGTTGCTCCAAGCCCCATCCAACCCAGTCTTGAACACTGCCAGGGAGGGGGCATCCACAGCCTCCCTAGGCAACTTGTTCCAGTGTCTCACCACCCTCACAATGAAGAATTTTCTCCTAACCTCTAATCTAAATCTACCTTTTTGAGTTTGAAGCCATTAGCCCTTGTTCTGTTGCTACATTCCCTTGTAAAAAGTCCATGTCCAGCTTTCTTGTAGAAATATGGAGAGGAAAAATGATTATAACGATCCCTGCTGTAGAATGGGGCAGACAAAGCACAGCAGTGTTTATTGTGAAGTTTAACGTAAGCTCAATAGGAAGATAATACAGAAAGCAGTACACTTTTAATTACGTACTTAAAAATTATAATTTAGGTGCTTAAATTGTGCTGGTTGTATATACTCAGTGATATTTAAAGTTTCAAAATCCACATCTGCGTTGCTTTGTAAATATTTGTTACATAAAAAAGCAGTTGTTATTTCACAAACTTGATTATATACTGAAGTCTTGGCTGTGTTTGTTTCAGAACCCAGTGATGAGTTTTGGTATTAAATGCAAGAAAGGAGGAGGAGTTTCATATCCCTTACCTCCTTTTCATTTTCACATGCAAAGCTTGTTTAAATCCTTTGGGAAAAAAGAATGAATTTAACCCAATTTTTGTGAGGTACTTAGATAAATAAAATTGTTTTGCTTGACTTCAAAGACTGAGAGGACTTTTTAAACCCCTCATTTCTGTATACATTGGTTTAGATATATATTATAGTTATGTTTGTGCTTAAGGAATGGTGTAGGTGGTGATAGAAGCCTCTTTGATCTGCCTAGATTTAAAAAATCAGATTATTTGGGATGGGAAATACATCCTAAAGTAAAAAGGAAAAAAAAAAATACTACCTCCATATCTTAATGCAGAGACTGATCACATTGACCTTTTTCCTTTTCCAGTTTTAGGAAGTCTTATTTTGCCTCTGCTGCTAGCTTCCCCAAAAAGATTACAAAGCCTTTCTCTTGCAACCTATATATAGGAGATAATAAACCTTTACATATTAAGTAAAACTGTAATCCAATAAATATTTTTCAAGACAAGGTAAGCTCTGAAATGACAGTTTGCCTTTTGTCCTTCTGCATTCACATGAGGTCCAGCAAATAGGTACTTACTAGTGATTTGCAGCAAGTCTTGTATGGCTGGATCCATATCTGGAAGTGAAGGGACAGAAACTGAAGAATGCTGCACATCCCTCTTGCACGGATTTCTTTGGGAACTTCACTTTTCCAGTATTTGTATGACTAATTTACCCCAGATGGTTGAATCTTTGCCAGAAGATACAGTAGGACATGCATTTGCTTACATTTACATCACCCAGTTACTTGTAGCTATCAGTAATCAGTAGCTTAACTTGATGTAAGTTTTGGACAAAATAGAATTTGTAGTATTACCAGGTCCCTAGGAGGAAATAATTGCTGATCAGGATGAGGATGAACATATGGAGCAGTAGAAATTTACTTCCTCTGTACTTGTTCTGTTCACTACAGCTGCCAAGTCATTTTTGAAAGCCAGTAAATACATTTATGTTGCTTTGTATGTTTTGGAGTTTCTTAACTCTTGTGTAGCACTTGTTTGTCATTTGAGAAGCATCATTTCCATAACTAGAGACTCTGTGTTCAGTATATTTGCTAAAAATACCACACGTTTAAAAATTACTCTGTTTTTCAGAACACTTCACCTGCATTATAAAAGTGCTGTTCACTTTACTGTATACTCAAGCCTTGGCAGCAGTTTCTGTTAAATGCAGTGCTGAAGATAGGATGGCATGGAAGGAGTCAGGAGCTCTCAAAAAGGTTGGTTAATTTATTAAAACATGTATGAAATTTTGCTTACATATTTCTGGTAGGAACATACAGATACTTCTGTTTTGCACAGGATAACTTGCTTCTTCAAAAAAATTCCAGTGTTTTGTTTCTTTGTGTGCAGTTTTGCAGGATTGGTATGTATGAGACTAAAAAGCTTCACATTGAAAATCTAATTCCAAAACTGAGTTTCAGATTCAAGGCTCTGTTTCTATAGTTGCAGATCTAAATTTATTGCGATGATACTGAGTAAATGCAGCTTTTCCTTCCTGTCAAATTGAAGCCTTCCTAGGTAAACCATGTGTTGATCTAATGCACTTCTTTACAGGAAAAGCAAGCAAGCTTCTTGGTAGGGAAAAAACCTCTGTCTTTTTCTTATTTGTTCATGCTGTTTGTGGCTAGACATAAAAATTTCTCTCAATACATGGTCCAGAGTGTTAATGTGATGAAGAGGCAGAGAAGAAAATTTGTAGACTAGGCAGGTAGATATTTCACTACTGTTTCCTTGCCTTTTGACAGTATTTACAAATACAGTGAAGGTGCATCTTGCTATTTTAGTTCAGCTGATTGAATGCCAGTTCTCACCAAAAGACACAGTTCTCTGCACTGGCATTCATTTAATCTTTCAGTCAGTTTTTTGCTCCACAGATTGATTCCCCAGAAGGTCTGAAGAGTGCCAGTGTCAGACCAAGGGAAAGGATGACTGTGCTGGGGCCAGCAGAGGAAATGGGAGGAGGAATACCCTGTATACAAAACCTGAGCCTTAGATTATGTTGGCTGTAAAATGGAATGCAAATGGAGAAGCGTGACCTGCTTTTACACAGAAGTTAGATTGGTCATAATGGTCAATCACAACTACAAGACAGTAAAGACAAATTATCTGCTGACCAAACTGTTGCTATGCAGGATTTTATATTCTATTTCTGGACTTGCATAAAACATTAGAAATCACTGTGAGCTAAATGCAGTCTTTCTCTGCAGATCTTTTTCCCAAAGCAATATATATCTTTGTACGTCAAAATTTGCATGTTTGTCAAAAGGAGATCTGCTTGATCATTGTTACTTTTACAGAATTATTTTTTTTTTTTACTTTTTATGACCAGTGCATTTTGGATTTCTTGCATTCTTAGTTGCAGAATACATCCAGTGGAGAAAAATCCTGGGAAGTATTGCTGGGTCATGTGATTACTGAGCTGTCTAAGGGGAAGATATATGAAGAAGGAGAGACTGAAGAATTAACAGTGGTATTGGCAAATCTTATGAGTATTTATCCAGCATGTCCCCTTTCTGTCTCTTATTTAAGTTTTTCAGCCTCATTGTTATAATGATGTTTCTCTGATCTTGCTAAAGACTGCAGTACAAGTCTATTTTTCTAGATCAAAGCACATCCCTTTGGGACAGTTTGTCTCTGCAAATCTTTCTTCTACTAATATCGTATATGGCCAGTGCTGTGTTGAAAAAGTTATTGAAAAATGCTTCTTATAATTGTGGTTTTTAATCATATGTAGGAAATACCTTTCTGAAACTTGGAAAACTGAATATTTAAGTAGAAAAAAAACATTTGTCAAGGGGCAAAGAAAACCCACAGAGTTCTTTCAGATTATAAATGAAATGCTTGCCTTCGAAATGTATGTCTGATGCAGTGGTTTGTATAGTTTGCTTAAAAAACATTCAATTCATATTGGAGTTTCTTAGATAGGAGACAACTTATCTTGGTCAGTATATAGTAAGTAATAATTTCTTTCCCTGTAGGTAAATCCTGATTCTGTAGAGTGCTATCTGCAGCAGTTCTGCCTGCCTTTCCTCAGGATCACAAGCCTTCTTCAACACCATCTTTTTGGAGGAGATTTACCTAGTTGCCAGGTACAAATTGAGATGGGCACACTCAATTGTTTCCATTTAAAAGCTAGAGATAAAAAACTAGACTTTTAAAATGTCTTTTTCCTGGTATGTATTTTCTGTCATAAAATTTAAAATGTTTTAAAATAATAATTTATAGCATACTTCTGCAGCATTGTTTCTCTTAAGCCAATTTGTTTTCAAGGCATTTTGCCCTGAAAAATGGTACTATATTCTTAAAAGTGGGAACCTACGTGCTTGTTTTATCAGGTCATAGATGCCTATCTTATAAAAACCTGACATACTTCCAAAACTTGTCCTGCATTTGCAGAAATGGCATAATTTCCACACAGACTGGAATTCAGTCTTGATTTTGCTTAATACCTATTAATACTTGCACTTTATTCTCAGTCATTGCATCAGCAGACAATTACGTTTGAGTTCTGTGACTGATTTAAATAGAATTTGCTGCAGGTCAGCTCCCACATTGCCTTGCCTCAAAATTATCTCACCTGTGAAACAGCTACAAGGCAGTTTGGGGTCCTAAACAGGAAGAAAATTACTGAAGGGTTTGGGAAGGAGTTGGTTCATTTGTTGTTTTTGGATTTGTGGTTTTGTGTGGATTTGTGTTTGTTGGGGTTTTTTTTGTTTTGGGTTTTATTAGGATTTTTTTGTTTCTATGTTTGCTTTGTTTTAATTCTGACCAGTTTCCTTGTATTTTGAGAAGCCAGTTTGAGGTAATCTGGAAAATATTCAAGCTTTCTCTGTCTCTGAACATGCCTATTAGCGTCACTGTTACTACATGTTTACTGTTGTTACTGGAATAGACATGTTTTTAATAAACTATTTTAAAATTCAGAGTCTAGGTATTAATCTAAACCTCTCTGGTTTCATACCTAAAAGGAAGATGAAGAATTCACAGTTCTTGCAAGTTGCCTGGGTCTATTACCATCTTTTCAGTCAGCTCATCAGTTCACCAGTGCCTCTTGTCTCGACTGGCCAGTGCCAGCATTTGACATGATATCACAGTGGTGCTCAGAATTAGCTTCCTTTGCAGATACACATCCAGATCAAGTAAAGGTATGTGGCAAAATTACTTCTTCAGAAATAGTGCTGATGTTCCAGCTATTTATTGCTTGATTTACTATGTAGATACACTGTTGTTCTGTGTATGAGAACCTGACTTGTTAATGAGAAAGAAATTGTAATCAGAACTTGTAAGTTCCTAATAGCCTCAAAGTTTGTGTATGCCACAAAGCTTTGGAAATCAGGCAGATGTCTTCATGTATCATTTACAGAGCCTAATTTCAGGTCTGTTTATGGAAGTCTTAGTTTAAATTTTGGCTGGGAGACAGCTTTCATAGTGTCAAGGTTTTCAGCAGTGTGTCGATTTTGCCAAAAGTAATTCAGCGTAGCGAGTGGAAGTCTTCCCTTTAGATTAGTCTTAATCCTCTAGTTTTTTAGTTACGAAGATTTTTGTTGTTAAAAAGTATCACATTTAGAAAATGTCCTTGGGAAAAGGCTAGTGCTCATTTTGCACCCATGCCAGAAGATGAAATGTGACTGCAGCTGGGGAGGGTGTTCACCTAGAGGCAGGTGACTGTTGCAAGGTGACTTTTGACTTCCAAATTTGTGAAATGCAGAATTGGTGAGAGATTTTTAAGCTGTATGCTTCCTTTCTTTAGTATTCTTTTCTCTTAGAAAATATAAATGGATAAATAAATGTTCAGAACTGTTATATTGCTCTTATCTTCTTATTTGTAGGTTTTGCTTATCCAGGAGCCCAAGTGGGACTTGCCACGCCTCCTCCAGTTGCCTGAGAATTATAATACCATTTTTCAGTATTATCACAGAAAGACTTGCACTGTTTGTTCCAAGGTTCCTAAAGATCCTGCTGTTTGTCTAGTTTGTGGTACTTTCGTATGCTTGAAAGGACTATGCTGCAAACAACAGAGTTACTGTGAATGTGTACTGGTAAGAGAGTTAATTCAAATTTTGTAATGGAATCTCATGTTCATGGATAGTTTTAAACTCTGTTGCTCAGTGTTGGCTTTCTTTCATAGATTGGCTTGGGTTGGAAGGAACATTTGCAGGTTTATCTAAAGGGACCTTTATAATGTTTTATTGCTTATTTCTCATAGATGAACTGAGACTGAATTCTAGAGAGCAATTTTATTCACCTTTTGGAGCCCATAACTTGTTTCCCTGTTTGAAAAACTTACATTGTGTGCCATCTTGACACACAGTTTTGATACATAACCAATTTAAATTTGTCTACATTCTGATTGTTTATATGTTGTTTTAATTTTCCTCTGTTTCATTTCCTTGCTTTCTATGTGGATAAGAATATCATGTATAGATTTTTCCACCTTTTTCTAGAGTACTTTCTGGTATATCTGACCATCTACTAGTGATTTACAGACTAGGTAGATAAGCATAATTTTAAGGTGTTTGATTTAATTCACCAGGAAAGCTTTCTACTGAGCATACATGTGAGTTGTTTAAGAAACTGGTGTTGGACAACATCTAGTTTTGTTCTCCTGTCCATGATAAAGGTTTGCTTTGACACCTGTGTTTCCTACCATGCAACAGTTAGTAGAAGGCTGGAACTACATGGGGTCTACAAAACTGAGGGGGATTTGTTGGGGAAATATGTATAAGCGGAGCACAAAACTGAACCCCAAGGAATTTCAGAATTTCAGAGGGATTTTGGATCTTTTTTAATTGTTCAAACTCAACTTTCTCTTTGTCCTGCTAATATGGCAAAAGAAGGAGTGAGCAAAATTTAAAATAGAATTAACAGTTAAATTTAAGGTATCAAGCTTCATGAAAACAGAAAGTTATTAAAAAAATAAAAAGCTACATAATTAATTACATTTTATTATAATTTATGGGATGGTAGCCTCTAAATGTAATAAAAATATATAGGAAGACCACTTTTTTAATTGCTAAAATGAACTGATTAATACAGACTACATCATTCATAGAGATTAATGACATATGGAAGCAAGCAAGAATTATTAAAAAGAATTATTTTAGTAGCTCTGTAAGCCATAGAAGAGATCTGGCCACAGATAGAAAAAGCTAATGTTTATCAATAGAGACTATTGTAAAAAGAGTGATGTTAGGTTTTTCTGAATACTTTCTTTTTATCTTGCCATCTATGAAAAAGTACTTGGTTATGCTGTACAGTTTGCTGAACAAAAACCAATTCAAAATATTGTGGATGATTTTTTCGCTCATTTTTTTTAGGTAATTCTGTGTTTTCATGTTAATGATTATCCTCCCTTTTTGAGCAGGGAACTCTTTGTATGCAAGTGTTACTACAGCAGCAAAAAACATGGGGTTCTAGTTTGCTTGGAGAATTTGGGGCAGGGTATCCTTTGCCAAACTGTTTCTTAGTAAATGTGTGTATGTTACTTAAAGCAAAACTAATTACTGTTTTTTAAATCCTTTTTGTTACAATGTTGGCAGACACTAACAGACTTTTTGCACTCTCTCCTTTCTACATGCATAATATGACAGCATTCTCAGAACTGTGGAGCTGGGACAGGAATATTTCTTTTGATTAATGCGTCTGTAATCATCATCATACGAGGTCATCGCTTCTGCCTTTGGGGTTCTGTTTATCTTGATGCACATGGTGAAGAAGACAGAGATCTTAGGTAATGTGATTGTTACACGTGTGTTTCATTGTTGCTTCTCTGTGTAGATCAACTCTGTTATGCAATACATGCAATAACAGATAATAGATCTCTACTTTCTTTTAAGTGGAAAATCTATATCTACTGTAAGTAGGACTGACTCTTTTATTGTCTTGTTTTTTCTTGGATTTTTTTGACCCAAAGGTGATTTAACCAGGCACCCAATGGACAGATGCCTATTTTGCTATTCTTGATGATAGTTAATTCCAAGTTGCATCAGGAACAATTCTGTCCCAAAATTGTTTTTTGGCCTTTAATTAAACAATGCAGTTTGATTCCAGAGCAGAAGTGTAGCTTCCAAGCTATGCATGCCTGAGACAACAAGACGTGTTTTATGGATTCTGCTATTCAAGAGGGGAAAAAGTGAAGTCCCAGCAGTTATCTTAGTAAAACCAAAACCCCTTAACCAATAAAATGGCACACTTGACCTGGGAAAAAAAGTTGTAGGGTATTGTGTGTTGATAAAGTGAAGCAGTTTTCCATTTATTTGGCATATTAACCATTCTTTTTTTTTCCCCTTACAGGCGTGGTAAACCCCTCTACATATGCAAGGAAAGATACAAAGTGCTTGAGCAGCAATGGGTGTCTCATACTTTTGATCATATCAATAAACGATGGGGGCCACATTATAATGGCTTGTAAATCACCATGGTCATCACCTACATGCTGTATCATTGCTGTTCCCGTGAATGAATGCATCTTGACTGACAATAGCTTTAACTGAATGGGAGTTCAGCTTTTTGTCTCGGGGTAGAGTGGGCTACGGGCATAAAAGGGAAATGGAACTTTGTCAACATGTGAAGTTTTTGCAAAATTAGCTGCTGTTGCTACTAAATAATGATAAAGTAAGTTGAAATTAAATCGTCAAAATTGTGTGAGAAATCTGATTGCACTCAGTAGTCCATTTTTCTTCTGTTTTTTAAAGCCCATTAATGTTAAGAAGCACAAATTGTACCTACAGTTTAGAGGCTCCAGGTATACCTGCTGGGTTTTTATTTTTCTCTGCATGGAATTGAGTTTTTAGCAGTTTTTGCTGAAACAGCGTATGTGTCTACTACATCTACTAACTATGTTGGTTAAAATTTCTTTGCCTTTTTTATGTTGGCTTCAGGTTTTTGCTTGAAATGCAATTGTAGACAGGATCTGTAAAACAATTGTGAGACTGCATGATAACAATTGGTCTGAAAGTTGAATTTTAAAGAGAATTTCACTTATCATGAGAGGTCTATTGAAATGTTTCAGGCATTACTGAAAACTTATGCATTCTCAGGAATTCCATTATTCTTTCTCCATAAATAAATGAAATAGCTGTAAATTAGGTATCTTATTGTTCTTAATGTAATCCAGAAAACATACTCTATTTTTTTTTGAGAGAGAGGAGTTGTTTTTCCCCGATCAACTGAATAAACTGTTAGTGATAACACATACAGAAATTGCTGTATATAGAGTATTTGTATGGTGCCCAACATAGCAGATCCCAGTTACAAACGTAACAACCATAAGCCTGCCTGTCATTTCAAACCAGATATGTTTCAGAATGATTGGATAGGCAATGTTCAGGGCTATTCTGCAAATGAACCATAATTTTGTATCTTTCTTGTGATTTCAGGAGGTTCCTCTATATTGTATTTGTTTATGGTAATCTCAGTTCTTTATGCTTCATTTTCTAAAAAGAAAAAAAAAATAAAGTGAAGAGAGATGGCATAGATGAACAACCAATGCACGTGCAGCCTCTTTGGATGAATGCCAAAACAGTTTATGCTTAGAAAAAAAATTCATGAGAACAGGCATGACTGGGCTAAACCCCATAGTCTAAGTAGATAGGAAAGATTATAGTTAAAATACTGGTATGTAATATATTGCTACTAATGTTTTTCACAAGTGTTGGACATTTGTTGGCTATTTCATACAGTACTACCGAGCAATTCCTGGTAGTTTCGACTTGCATAGCTTGCGTGTAAAATAAAATTTATATGTGTAAAATAAAAACATCTTATGATAAAACCACATGTACAATGAAAACAGTTCCCCAGTGGAAGTCATTATCTAGTGAAAAGTGTCACGGGGAAATAAAATGACTGTATAGCAATCACAGAGAACAAACAGAAGTAAGTAAATACAATTAATTTTTCTGGATACATGCAATTCAAAAAATCCCACAATAAAGGATGCTGGGTTTTATACATACATATAAATATATAAATATTTCCAAAGTATTACAGTACTTCCTGTAAGATTAGAATTACTGTTTCACCAAATAAATGGCTATGTCTTTTCCAAAATACTACATTTTTGATACTGTATTATAAGTTCTGCCTGTAATATTTTTGCATTGCTCATTATGAATATCAGGCCATTTTGTAAGTGTGGTTAAAGAGCAAAAAGATTCTTTACATCTCCAGCATAACAATATTACAGGGCTCATGAACTTGAGTAATCTGTAGTTTGAAGCTCCAATGCTATATTTACAAGAGATAATGTATCCAGAATGTGATTTCTGTGTTTTATTTAAAATGGAATGTTCTCTGGTTGTGCATATGGATGTGAAGTAAAACTATTAGCCTTAACTTTAACATTCGGGTATTTCATAGTGTTTATTTTAGTACTGGTGAATTAGTCACCAGTCAGTTTATAAACAACACCACCACAAAATCACTTGGTTGAAAAATTGTACTTGAATATCCTTGCATGCTGCTAAACAAGAATTTTGATTTCCCCATAACTTTTTAAATCCTACTTTATTAAGCTAACCTTGAAAAATAACAGGTCCAAACTAGAGTGGTGTGTGCGTGTATTACTCAAATATCTGGTGTGGTATCCTGTATGAATGATCATTTAAGTACAGTACATTACTGTAGAATCTAAATCAATCTTTATAACACATCAGAAGAGTATAAAACTAGGAATACAGTAATTGAAATTGTAAGATATGTTAATAAAAGTCTACTGTCAATCTGTGTGTTTGTGAAATTTTTCTTCTCTGCCCCAGTCATCCAAAATGTAGTTGTTATTATTGAATTCCACCCAATAGCCAGGCAGTTATTTAAACGTTCAAAGCTTATGCATGCGAAGTACCTTCCATAGAGAGTAAATGTATGGGTTTTTTTCTTTTTGTTACTTACACACAGTCATTTATTTTGTATTAGTAATTTGGATTATTTTATTTACTCGTAACAATTAAAGTTGTGTTTAATTTTATGCCAGCTGTTAGTGCTGCTGCTGCATACTGCTAAATTTAAAATGCTGACTTGAGAAACTGTACTTCTGGGGAAACCATGCTTGATCTGTCAAATCTGTTTCTAGAATAACTAGTACTTCAATTTGATTAATGTATATATTTATGTATTAAATTTTTCCTTTTGTTTTGACCTTTCAGAAATTTGGTGAAACAGTTTTGTTTTGCCCTTGACCTTCGGATAATAATGTCTTTCTTTGGTGGTGGCCTGAAACTTTCAATTAATATTTTCATTACTTCTGCAATAGGAATCTTGCGTAACTCACAGCATTCCACAAGCAAATGATACTTTTCTGTTAAAAAAAAGAGGGTCTTTTGCTACAGTATCCAACAAATGTTATTTTTCAGAATCCCATGAGATCACGTTTGTGCTGTGTGTATAGCTGCCAGAGGGAGACCATGTGTTTTGTGCTGATCATGGTATCATTTAGATCTAATTTTCATCTAACCCGTATTCTGCAGTCCTGCTGTTCACTTGTTTCTCAGAGGCAGGGGTAATGATGAATGAAGCCTTTCTGAGAATTAACCTACATAAGAATAAAATTATGCTATTTGTAAAGTAAGAAAACCACAGGAATGAGATGACCCAGTGTAAGAAGGTTCACAGCTCTGCAGGATATGAGGGAGTGCGTGTAATCTGAGGAGGCTGGCTCTGTGTGACAGTTGCTGTGACAGTGCTGGTCTGAAGGCTTCGCGAGGGGAATGCTCTTTTGGTGGGGGCACAGCACCCCAAGCACCCACTTGTGTTTTTCCAGGTGGGCAGTTATTGTCTGCAAGTACTCACACATTGCTGTAGGGTCAGCCTTGTGACTTAACTTGCTTCTTATGCCACTATTATGTCCTGTTGCTGTGGTTGTAATCTTGCTAGGTTGTACTAGGTATTAATTCTGGAATTGAATGTTCTTAAGTAGGAAAAACATACTCTCAGTGAAGTCAAACACTTCATGAATTCTTATATAAATGGCCAGGGTGTTCTAATTTTAAAAATCCTTCTGATAGGCTTTTAAGTTTTCTTTTTTAATTCACTGTATCATTTGGACTTTCTTACTTTCTCCTGAATAGTAGAACTATTGAGGAGATTTAATGCTACATGCTTCAAGTACTTTGTTTCTTTGAAATACTACTGAGAAGGCAAATATGAATCTTGTTAAGTAAATCATAGTTTAAAAAAGCTAATTTTAATGCCCTAAACCATTATTTTTGCAATGTACAGGAAAATGTGAAAAAAAACCTCCTTTGAGAAGCATTTTAAATTTAGCTCTGAGTCCCAGTTAAAATGCCTCAAAATGAGCTTTCATTAAAGTACAATAATTTGAAAAACCATTTCCTGTAATTCTGTCACTTAATGTAGAGCAGATTGGCCTGTTAATTCAAGAAAATGGGAGCTGGTTCCATGGAAACCCTTCACATCATTGAATGATTTACTACCCAATAAACAACTTATTACTCCTTTTGTCTTTATCCCTTCTATGTAGTACGTGGACTCATGTACTCATTTCTACTGAGGATGGAAACATGACTGGAACTAAAATGTTTTGGGGTTTGTGGGGGTTTTTTTGTCTTCCATTATCTCCTGTCATGGAGCAGGAATTTTCTGGAAGGTAACTGTTTTCCTGTAAAATCCAGTTCCCCCAGTCAATTCCTTATGCTGCTTACAGTATCTGTGTTAGTTTAGCTACTGGAATTGCTTACATCTGTTGCCTAATATATTTCCCATTACAGGGCTGCTTTCAAATTCATGCCTACTAAACTTTAAAATAATTTTTACTGAAAACTGTTATGCTGGGCTTATTCCTTATGGTTGGATTTTTAATATATTTTTTGTTTGTTTCAACAAAAAAAAACAAAAAAAGCAGCAAGATAGCTTTCAAAGAATAAAACTGGGAAAAAAGAAAACAACAAACCTAAGGTATTGTTATCCTCATGTTAATGTTTTTTTCTAAACGTTGGATGTATCTACTGTCTCTGTGCTTAGGCCTTCAATGTGGTCACCAGATGTGTATGGAACTGTGTACTGAAGCATTTATCAAATCAAAACATTCTTGGGAATTGCATTTAAGTATTGGCAGAGACCTAAAGCAGATTAGCCTTTGTTTTTCAGGTGTCCAGGAATATCCTTTGTCCCTGGCTCTTGAAGCCAATAATACATTTTGCTGTGAGGATTGTTTTCCTTCTGTTTCTTTGAAAACCTGGGGCTCTCTCCATGTAACGCAGCCACTTTTGTCATGCTTTTGTTGTCTCCATATTGTATATGAACTACCTTGTTTTATAATATTCCACAACAAAAGAACCCTAAAACAGCTGGAGAGCCCTCTGCAACTCTGTAGCAGTTGCATTCTCTCAGAGTGGTTTATGGATAGACAGCCAGAGGTTACAGATTGAAAACTAGTTTGTAGAGGCTGTGGCTGCTTTCTTGTTCTATGGTGCTAGTCATTTTAAATTTCTCATACATGAGCTTTGAAAAAGTATAACCCACTTGGCATTTTTTCAGTGTCTCCACAAGCCCTAAAAGATACTGCCTGTGTTCTAGGACAACTTCCCATTGCTCTTGAGAATTTAGTACAGAGCTATTCTTTTAATCTCAGAGAACTGTAACAAAGTACTTGTTGAGAACTGCTTCTGTGAAGTTATACATCTTATAAGCTATAGACTTACGGGTTTTGTAAAGCAGAGTTAGAGGGCAGCTGAAGGGACTGTTAAGTATTGTTTTATTTGGGTTTTCTAGCTGTCCACTTTATCCTGTTGCTTTTGTCTCATTCTTGTGGGCTCCTTTAATACAGGGAACACCTGTTTGGTTCAGTAAGTAAATCAAGTGCTTTGTAACAGTAGATCAACTGCTGG